TTAAAATCTATGCAACCGTTTTTGAAATATCCTGCCAACAGACAGACAAATGAATAAACACATGGAAGCAAAACATATCCTCCTTGGTGGAGGTAATGAACCTGCACATAAGACCGGTTTTGTTAACACATCGCATTTTTTAAGTATGCTGGCATTAAGAAATATGTTTGTAATGGCAGACTTCACTCTCATTTGGTCTGACATTTTTCAATGGTCTACAGGGGACTGGGTTGGGTTCCAATTACTTCTTTCAATTACAATTGATTGTAATTGTAATTCCATTTACTTTCTGGACAGAATGTTCAATTACAATTACAATTACTTTTCGATTAAAAAATTCAATTTAAATTAAAATTACGAAAGTAATTGATTACAATGACTGTAATTGTAATTGAAAAAAGTAATTGAACCCAACCCTGATAGGGGATTAAAACACAGGTCTACATCCTTCATTTTAACACAGCATTTTGCCTGCTCCGTGGGGCCAGAACTACACATTCTCCCATCAGAGCCAAAGACTCATAAACTTGGCCGTTTGCGAGAACGTCTTTATCACAAATGAAGATGGATAAACTCGACTGTGGAGGACATGATTTTCACGGGCTACAATTTTCATGATTTCTCCGATTTAGCAGTCTCACATGGTTGGCTAAACCAGGTGCTTCTGTGTTGCAGATACAGTTATTAGTATAATGTAATCATCGCTGAAATCATCATCATTATTATTAGTACAATGAGCGGCATGGTAGCCTAGAGGTAGGCTGTAGGGCTCCTGATTCAAGCCCTTGATGAGGCTTCATTAAAAAAAAAAAAAAAAAAAATAAATAAAAACTTCCACTAGACCCTCAAACCGGGTGCCAACGCACGAAACTGCTACAGAGGCTTTACTCAAGTAACCCAACCTACTCCGCACTTATTATACCCACTGGTGAAATACAGGCAAAAACACACAAAAAAAAAAAAAAAAAAAAAAAAAAAACTGTTTAGTCATTAAAGAGTGATAACCCTGTAAGGCCATCCGTCCTGTTGATCAGCTCCTGGGGCGGGGTTTGTGCAGTCTCTGAGCTCCAGAACTGGCTGATCATTATATGGGTGGGGAGAGCCACAATTAAGCATGACCACACCCGGTGACACAGCCAGGCTGACTCCGATTAATAGCTCTATAAAAATACAGGTTCTACAGGTGTGTGTGTGTGTGTGTGTGCACTCATGCGAGAAAGAATGCGTGCGTAGGTGTGGGTGTGTGTGTGTTTTTGTTTTTATATTGTGCTGGAGACCAAAATACCTCACAAAGATAGCAAAGTCTGAAAAACCATGCCTTGTGTGGACCTTTTCTGGGTCCCCATGGTTACGAAGCTTAATTCAGGGCTTAGGGCTGGGTTTAGGTCTAGGGTGGCTATTGGAATTATGGTTTGGTTCAGGTCTAGTTTTAACGTTATCTATTGAAATTAGGCTCTAGATTAAGGTAAGACCATAAATTAAGGTTAAGTTTGGCTGTTTTGGGGGTGTGTGGGTTAGGATTAGGGTTAGCTTTAAGATTAAAGTTAGGGTTAGGGAAGGGGTAAGGGATAGGGTTAGGTTTAGGTCTAAGGGGATGGTAATGGGATTTTGGAGCAAAAATTATTTTTTAGTCCCCACGGGGATAGAGAAACAAACATGCGTGCGTGCGCATGTGCGTGTGCGTTCGTTCCAGGTTCCTGACGAAAAGGACGATACCTGCATGTCCACGGCTAAAGCAGGAACAGTGCAATGCCCCATAAAACCGACATGCAGAACTACACACATACAAACATTTACACTGGGTTACAAATTGGCCCAAACACATGCCGACCCAAAACCCAAAATACAAACTGGTACTTCTGCCTTCGTTTTCATCATTTTTCTGTTTTCATATCAATTCTGGCCAACAGCAAGTGCTCTTGAACATGAATTTGAGAAACATGAACAAAGTGTTTAAAATACTGAAAAACAAAAAATGTCTAATCAGAGGTCTGTGAGCCCAAGATACTGGCAGCAAGATGTGATGGTAGATTTGCAGCTTTCAGAGGTTGAAGGTGGGAGGGGTCACTCACCCTAGCGGACCTCTCCATGGTGTAGGCGAGACCAGAGTGGACAATATCCTTCTCAGAAGCACCCTGGGAGAGAGGAGATATGGGTCATATTAGCGACACACACACAGACATACAGACAGTTGGCTTACGAATGGGCTGCGGCTGTCCCGTTTCCTGCAATGTTTATTAGTTTCTCCAATCGGCCATTTAGAAGACTTTTGCTAGAGTGGAAGCAGTTAAGGGCTCTCGAGCAGCATCACCAAACAGGAATCCCACGGTCAAAAACCACATCAATAATTGGTTTCATTACGGAAACAAACAAAACTGTGCCTCACAGGAGCATGTATAATGGGACTGCCTACCATCTGTCTTCCACTCGCTTTCTATTCCCTACCACTTTTTATTGAGAAGATAAAACAAACACTGCATAGAACAATGTTGAACACAAAGACCCAGCGATATGAGTAGCAGGGCTACACCGGGCTTCGTGCTCTCGCTCCAGGGCTCTGCAACCTGAACTCTCCCACAAAATGAGCTCACCTGTATCAGGTTACAGGTGTCCCCTGCACAACACCTTAAACAGGTGCACAGCAAAGGTTCACCCAAGGTCACCAGCAGCAGCCAGAGGACAACCCACAGGTAGAAGCTTACCGTGAAAGGAGTGTGTTACTAAATAGAAACTGAGCTTTACTCGCTAAAATAAGAGGCCCGTTCCACTCAGTTTGAGGCATTAGCCACCAGCTATAACCTCTTCGGCTGTGGATTCCGTTTGACCCTCTCTGAAATTAGCACTGCTTTAGCCAGACCGTAACCAACCAAAATGCTAAATTAATATCACTTCAGGCCATGAAGACAGAGCATACAAAAGGCTGGAAGTGACACAGCATTTGTGTTTACTGTTTTGAGATGAAACAGCAGGGTGCAATATCACATGACAGTGGTGTGGGCGGGGCAGGGGCATGACGGGGCGGGCAGGATACGTACAGCCACTCTGGCCTGGAACTCGGCAGTGGGGACAATGGGAATGGCTCCACCGTGCTTTCCGAACTTCCTCTCCAGACTCTCCTGGACAGACACTGGAGGCAATGGTCATGATTAATGACACATACTGCAAAACATAGAAATGAAATGGCAACCCATTCAATTTAAAGGCAATCGCGCCATTTGTTTATGCGCATCCTAACCGCGCAGCGTTACAACTGGTCCGCTTCGATTGTAGCCACCGCACAAGGCCTGTTTTGGTGATGATTGCAGGTTGTTTAAATTTATAATTGAGCTGGATGTGCAATTGGCTTCCTTGCTTGAGAGAATCGTAATATCTGTGGAAAATTTGAGGTATTTTTATGTAATTTGCATATAAATGTAGTCTTCTAGTAAAAAAAAAAAAATTTCCACGGTAAGCCATCCTTTTTTGTGTTCAGATCAGATAAAAGATTGCTGAACACACTGAGACATTAAGTCTTTTTCAATATTGTATTTTATTTAATGCGAGGAAATTTTCAAAAATGGCTTAAATAAGCAATTTCAGGTTGTCCAAAAAACATACTGTAAGGGCTACTTATCCTATATTTCTGCCCATTAAACTTAATTTTCATAAAAATGTATGTTACATTACTTCGGTGTCTGTAAATGGTTCCCCATGGTGAATAAATGCAAATAAGACAAATTCTTTGTGGCTTATTTATTATATGCCAATTTCAGGACGCCACAAGATGACAGAACTGTTACTCCCAGGTTTCCATGGTAAGCATCTGTTTTTATTGTTTTTTCACATGTAGACAGATATTTGGCATAAATGAAGATCTAAGTCATACCAAAGTTTGAAGTAAAATGGCGCGATTGTCTTTAACCTATATACTGCACAACATAGCACTGAAATGACACCCTGTTCACAATAAGCTATACACTGAGCACTGTAGCACTAAAACAGCACCTTACTCAATTTACGGCAAACACTACACTTTTATCGTTCTAAAATGGCACAGACACAATTTATGCAACATATTGAAGACTACAGCCCTAAAATAGCAGAGCCATAATTTATGGCAACTACAGCGCTAAAAATTGCACCCTACACAGTTTACGAGGCAAATTGCACATAGTAGCCCCAAAATAGCAGCCCACAGAATTTATGCTATATACTGTGTACTGAAGCCCTAAAATGGCAGCCCACAGAATGTATGGCACACTTTGCAGAGCAATTATAAAATGGCACTGTGCTTGGGGAACTAAGCTCACAGGTTTCAGGTTCAAATCACCGGTAAAGGCTCTGCCATCACCTCCTCCGAAAAGGGTACAGGACCAGAATTACAGAGGTGAACATTGAGAAGTTTGTAAGGAACTGATACAGTGCATAGAACTGGGGAATTCGGTCTTATCCAAAATGGGCCGGTATGTATGCAGGGGGTCATTCCAACCATGCAGTTACACACCTGATCCTACCAATCAAGGTCTTTAACACAGCGTTCAGGAGTTGATCTTTAGAATCAGACGCGTCACTGAAAGGCCGAGACTAAAGCCTGAGCTCACAGGCCCTTTCTGAGTAAAGACAAGAACCTCGGCCACAAAACGGCAGATTTTAATCAAAACCACAAATAAAGTTGCTCTGGAGAAGAAACGGAGCTCGAAGTCAAGATGCAAATGCAAAGCTCTCGGTCAGGACATTTTTAGCAGCATTAATACCTCTCAGAGGTCATTTCTGAAAAATGCCCTGGAAAATCGATGCCCGGAGACAGCAAGTAGCTCAACTCGAAGCTTGCCGTGAGGTCACCATGTCCTAGAGCGCACCGAACGCTTTATATGCACCCCGTTTCTATCTGGATTACATCAGCGACTGTCCAGGGCATTATAATGAGAAGCTTCTCCAGTTAAAGGATTATAAACAGACACATTTCAGTTCTGCTGGGGACAAACCATCGATTTTTAAACCATTAGCAATCGTGATGAGGAGATGCGGTAGCACAGTGGTTAACTGTGCGTGACTTGGGACCGTGAGGTCTTGAGTTCAAACCCTTTCCGCAGCTTTTGCGGTGTGTTCTTGGGTAAAACACTTCACTCACACTCCACCCAAGAGTATAATTGGGTACCAGCAAATTGTCGGGAAACTTCTGGTAATTTCAGGCAACTGAAACCAGGGTGTAGCACTGGCCTGTGAGACACTTAGGCTTGGAAGAGACTTACTTAGCGATTGTGAAACAAATGACATAGTAAAGGTGGTAAATGCTTCTAATCGATAAGTTCTGATGCATTGTGGGTAATGGAGTCATTTCCTCAGCAGCCCTCAAACCTTTCATTGCCATTCCCAGACCTGGCAGGCACAAAACACTTGTGACATTTCATAACACCACACTTTTCATTTTAATGAATTATTAATAATAATAATAATAATAATAATAATAATCATAATTTGGCCATTCCATTAACCATTATAATCCCACCATCTCTAAAACGTGCTGTAATCATGAACCATCATTACATGAAAATGCTCTTCAGGCAGTTTTAAACAATGCTAATGAATGCAGTGTTTTCACTTAAAGGTGCATTCAGTAACTCTGGAGATTAAAAAAATTTTTATAAAACAAAATTGATGATGTGGCTCTATATCTTCGGGTTTGAAGATCTCTACTTCGATGGTTTGAAAATGTTATTTTGCTTCCCACATCTATGACAAGAACCTCTATAAATTGATGTGGAACAAGCCTCCATCAGCAGCCATTTTTAAACCACATCACAAAAACGACAGACTTGACGTAGAATAAATGCTTTACATTCAGAGGTGATGACGCCCAAGGGCACCATTTTCATCCGTGTAACAGGTAGTGGATGAATGGTAGCTTCACTAGGAAGAAATCATTGCTTTGAAAACAACTATAGATCATTTGCACAGTTCCGCAGCCACCCGCCCACCCACGCACGCACGCGCGCACTAAAAACCATAAATCAGCACCATGGAAAAATGACCAATCAGAGGAGGGATGAAACCAGGGTGAGCATCAGTGCCGTTTTCCCTCAGTCGGAAGCACTGAGGAGAGAGAATGGATTTCGGACCATCGTCGATGTTGACAGTTTTCATCGGAGCAGGCGAGTGAATAAAGGCAGCAAGTGTAGCCAGATTCGGATATTTCCCTTTGCTAATTTCATAGAAAGTGGTGATACCCGGAATTCTGAATGCGCCAAGCTGGAGTTCAACGAATCCGCTCCACACGCGCATTAACTTCAACAATTTAGCTGAACTATGCTAAGACCAAGCGTAACTATAGTAACATTAGCAATTCAGCTAAAGTGCACATGTAGGCTACTGCAGTGCTTGGTACAGTGCATGATGGCCAGCTACTGCACATAGCAAACCAAATTTACAACAAGCGATGACACCGTAGTTTTTAAAAATCCTGCACATGTCAATGTTCTTCACATAAAAATAGGCTCAACGGCTTACCACTGAATCAGTGTCTGATGTTTTTTCTGGGATTAGCCTCCATTTAAGGCCACTTCTGTTCTAGACAGACTGTCTAAACCCAGCGATCTTCAGGAAATTTGTAGCGTTACAACATAGGAAGCCTTAGCTATTCCTGTCCTGGTGGAGGCAGCAGATGACCATTTCTACAGCCAAGCTCAAGACCAACAGCCATTTCAGCTGCTGAGTAACACCCCAGAAATTCACTGCCAACTGCTGAATGCACCTTTAACCTGCCAAAGAAATGCCTAATCATTTAATGTCAATTTTCTGAGGGATTTAAATGCCCTGTTCATGTACTCCATTCTGTCCATCTGGGAGGATGGCATCCTGGGAAATTAGTGATGCGGACACTGTGCCATAGACGGTGCCATATTTTGGAGGAGACTTGACAGAGGTCCCAACTCACCATTATAACCAAATGGCACTTTTCTATAGAAGTCGTCTCAACAGCGTCTCCGGGGTCTGAGCCAAATTTTCAAATACATCTGGTCACATGACCATGTCCTACATATTTTAGCCTACAATCCCCCCCCATTTATTCTGCCCAAATCAATTATGGTTAAATAAAATAACCTCTTGGATTACAAGACCTCCCTGGTTAAACACACAAAAAAAAAAATCTAATGACAAATCCTCGATCGCAGCCGACCTGCTCCTCAAAAGCCCGAGTCACAGGACCCGCTCAGACAGAGGGCACCTTGTGCTCAGAATTGGGCCTTCTCGTTACACAGAGCGGTCGGTGGCTGGTGTTCTGAGGGGAACAGGACAGAGCCGGGCTCGCTGATCGATTCGGCTCCAGTGCGGTGCTTATGGGCGGGGCTCGGGACAGCGGCCTGACGCTACGGGAAGAGCCGCGGTCGCAAGGAGCCAATTATGAGCCAGCCCCCTCCCATTCCAGAAAGAGCAGGCTCACGTGAGTGCTGATAATGCCCTGATGCAGACAGCCGGGGGGGGCCGCGCAGCAGGAGGATGAGATATTTATTACACTGAACAGTATCGGTGCCACACCCGACTGAATGAGCCACTGCCGTGACAGCCAGAGACACACATGTACACACCCACATTCATACACAGGCACACATACACGCAAACGCGCATGCATACACAATGGACTGCTGCGTAGGTTGCTAAGCACCAGCAAGACTCAAAAACAGAAACATTATGCCTTAACACACCGGTTTTCACGCCAACACCCACTTGGAATGCAAATACAGTGGAGGAAATGGATGGTTAGGACTTCCTCCAAATTCAACAGCTGGGACGGTGATACTAAAAATATTTCCTGTGAAAGGAAGCATTTCTTGAAGGAAGTCTGCCATAAATCGACCTACAGACATGAAAGTGAAAGGCGAGGCTAAAATAGATGAGGTGTGAGGGCTCCACCTAGTGGATGTTCCTAGTTACAGCAGACAGAAGGGAGGAACGCTGATCGGCCGGCTGACTCACAGAGCAGGTGGTAGTTGGAGTCCCTCTCGTACTTGAAGGTGAGCCGGCCGTAGCTGACGTGGTTCAGGTTCTTCAGCCACTCGAAGTATGAGACAGTCACACCACCAGCGTTAAGATAAAGGTCCTGCGGGACACGAAAACACACATTCAAAATCAAATACCAGAGCCCGTGAGCCGAATACCACCCCAAACAGAACCCACAGTTTAAAAAACAACTCCTAATACAATGCAAACATCCCAAATTATAGTCCTTCAACCATGTCTGAGGACAGTCAGCAATCACACACTAGTCCTCCATAAATTCCAATAAACCCCCAAAGAGACTCCATTTTGGCTCAAAGCAACATTTCGTAAACACAGCACAAGCTAAAGAAGTCATTCTTTAGAATCAACCCATGTGAAACACAGTTCCAAGTCTATTGGTAAGAGCGTGTTAAGATTTGCGGGGGCTGAGGGCGAGTTTTGTAGGATGTTCGTATGGTTTAACCAGCACATCACGACGCCCCCTAGCCTCACCATCCAGCCCACAGAATGATTAATGTCAGTCAGTACACATCTCCCCAAAATAGGAGCAGGCGCACCCCTCTCTGGGGCATGGGGTCACTGCTAAATTACCCCCACAGAGCAGCGCAGCACTGCAGGACCCCCTCAGACCAGGACATACAGCGGGGGGGTCACTCCATTCCTTCCATCTGAAACACTGCTTCCCACAGGACTACAGTAGGCCTGAGCCTCTAAACTCACAAACACCAATCAATCTTAACGTGTCCCCTGCTTTAGAACAGCGTCCCAGCACATAACAATCACACACAGAACAGTTAAGAAGTATTCAAACTGGGGCACAATTTCTGCTTGCTGCCCCGGTACTTCGGCACAATGGATTTGAAATTTTAATGACCGCAAAGTTTAAGTGGAGACCATCAGTGTTAGTATTTATAGGTGCTCAGATTGGATATCAAGAGCTGAGTGAAAATTGCAGGCCCAAACACAGATGGACTGAAAGGCCTTCTTTAAATGATTTTGATGCCAGTGGCGATGAAAGGAATTGAGTTTGCAGTAGAAGCCGAGGATGCAAAACCCCTAAATCTCCCGCGACTGAGCCACACTGGGACTCAGTGATCCACAGATCGCACATGATGTAGTTTTATGGTTCAGGATTTTAGTGCCATAATTCACAGCACTCAGGCTGAGGGCCCTGTTCTCCAGGGCTGACCAATACAGCCTATAAATTCCCAGTTTTAAGGCATCTGCTCTATGGCCTGAACTCAAGAGAATATACTCCATTACACCAGAACACAAGCAGTGCTATATTAAATAAACACCTCTGGACATCAAAGACCATAAATAACGAAAACAAACACACCCGCATTTATATAACTATACTAGTGAGGGCGTTGCATTGGCTTACATTCGTTCAGTACAACCTTTCCTGAACGCTAACCTTAATCTAATTATGACCCACCCCAACTATTTTTATATCCCCTGCAAAAGCATAAAGCACACCATTTTACCCTCCATCCGTAATTCTATGACTCCGTAAATCCAAAACACTACCGTTTCCAGGTCATACCTCATAAACCATTTAAAATTTTTAAACAGAACTTGTTACATGCTTAGAACTAGTGGTGAACTGGTGCCTTTTGCCATTTTGGTGATTCTGGGATTTTTTATTTCTCTTCCTTTCCATGGAAACACATTTTATCTGGGGCAGGTGACATCACAGTGTGCTACATGCACATCACTAGTTTTTTGACTTCTGATTTTTCCTGTCCTAAACGCAGCCGAGCCATTTAGCGCAGCGCTAAGCGACCTGCTCCCATCGACTCACGAGGAGGATGCAGAGGCACGACGATTTCTCCGACTCACGTCACAATCAGCCCTCGCCGCTTTTACACTACGATGTCAAACTGCCAGCTGCATTCCGCTTATGCCATTGCACCATCAGACAGGCAGCGTACAAATCGGCTCGTACATGTACATGAGCCTGGCCGACTAAAAGTGGTCACTACAGGGCGATAAACTGACAAATTTTAACCGGCTTAACCCCTACTATCCCTGGCAAGGCTGCACCAATTCTCGCCTCACCCATGTGGACCTCCGGCCATAGTTGGTAATGGTGCA